CCTCACAAAGATGCGTAAAAATACTCAGGAAGGCAATGGAGTTGGGGTTCAAATGGAGCAAGGAAAGACCATAGAAATTCAAGACCAAAAGGAGAAATTCAGAAGGCGGAGGAAGAAAACCGCAGAGAATAAAGTCCTCAACCGCAACCATGCGACCCAGGACAGGCTGGGGTTCAGTACCTCCTACTTCCTTCTCCGCGGTCCCGCGACCGGGAAGGGCGTTATCCTCCTGCTGTTTCTTTAGTGACGCACTGGTGGAGGTAGACTTGTCGTGATCCATTGCCACCGGGGATCGCCGGAGAAAGGACCGAGATGAGCTGGCTAGGGTTTTTGCAGGAGCGAAGAAGACGAGGGACGTTTGGAAGCTGGAGAGTTTTTTCAACAGGCGGACCTCAAATTGGATCCCCAAAACTCCCTTAAATAGACGCACCTCCGACGTTGCGAATTCCAAGGAAAGGAGAGAGATGGCCGCCGGAAATTTCTGGGTCCGTTACGCGCGGCAGTTTCTCGGACTTCAATTTAAATTCACTCAGGACCGTTGAGCTTCACTCGGCGTTGTCGATCACTCCTTGTCTCTCGGTCATCACACCGAGAACGACGACAACTTCGACATCAGAAGTCGCGATCGGTTTCACGAGTTTATTTAAGCAGAAGTCGGGGGCTACTGTCAGGGTTACGGGTAAGGTATACCCTCTACCCTTCGATATACGTCACATATCGACATGGTATGCTTGCGCATATGCGGACGTTTTCGGCATAGGTTGGGGAAATCCATTACGGAGTTCACAAATGTAAGGAGTCCTACTCAGATAGAACTGGGTCGTCATTGTATCGTATCGGGTCCGATGTCTCCGAGTCCTACTTGGAGACCAGTTAACCTATGGTATAAAAGGGATCCCCCGGGAGGACCTAAGAGATCGAATCTCAGAGCCAACGCATCCACCACAGCCTACGAAGTCGGAGCTTATCGGAGCCAAGTCGCCGGGATATCTAGTCGGATTGACTCGACTATGATCTCGTCGGTATCGTCGAGTTCTACTATTCCCTTTGTAATCTGTGGTTTCCATCATATAATCCCATATCAACTGGATTAGGGCTATTACCTACCAAGGGGCCTGAACCAGTATAATCCCTGTTTCCTGTTTGCTTGATGTCGTACTACGTAGATCCTCGTACCAGCGTACCTCAATACCCTCTATATCCGGTCTACGGGTATCCCCCGTCGACACTCATGGTCTAGAAATTCTCACATTAATCGGAGAAAAAGAAAAGGCAGAGTCCATATAGAAATACAATTTAGAAATAGCTGAAATTCGGAATTAAAAATTAAGGAATATTAGAAGAGGAGACTAGATTCCATATAGAAATACAATTTAGAAATAGCTGAAATTCGGAATTAAAAAATAAGGAATATTAGAAGAGGAGACTAGAGTCCACATAGAAATACAATTTAGAAATAGTTGAAATTCGGAATTAAAAAATAAGGAATATTATAAGAGGAGACTAGAGTCCATATAGAAATACAATTAGTAAATAACTGAAATTCGGAATTAAAAATAAGGAATATTAGAAGTAGAGTATAGAGTCAAATATTATTAGGAAATAATAGAAATTCGGAATTAAAAATAAGGAATATTAGAAGTAGAGTATAGAGTTCATATCGAAATACAATTAAGAAAAAAATAGAAATTCAGAATTAAAAATAAGGAATATTAGAAGAGAAGACTAGAGTCTATGTAGAAATACAATTAGAAAATAATAGAAATTCGGAATTAAAAATAAGAAAAAGTAGAAGTAGAGTATAGAGTCCATATAGAAATACAATTAAGAAAAAAAATAGAAATTCGGAATTAAAAATAAGGAATATTAGAAGTAGAGTATAGAGTTCATATAGAAATACAATTAAGAAAAAAAATAGAAATTCAGAATTAAAAATAAGGAATATTAGAAGACAAGACTAGAGTCTATATAGAAATACAATTAGAAAATAATAGAAATTCGGAATTAAAAATAAGAAAAATTAGAAGTAGAGTATAGAGTCCATATAGAAATACAATTAAGAAAAAAAATAGAAATTCGGAATTAAAAAATAACGAATATTAGAAGTAGTGTATATAGTCCATATAGGAATTTAAAACTAACTAAAATTCGGAACATAATAAAATGAAAAGTAGTGTTTAGAGTCCGTATAAAAATACAATTTACAAATAACTAAAATTGGAAATTAGGAAAAATATGGGAAGAAGAGTTTAAAGTCAATATAGGAATACAATTTAGAAGTAACTGAAATTTAAAATTAAAAACTAAAGAATATTGAAAGATGAGTTTAGAGTCCACATAGAAATACAATTAGAAATAATAAAAATTCAGAATTAAAAAAAATAAATATTAAAAGACGAGTCTAGAGTCCATATAGGAATATATATAATTTAGAAATAATTAAAATTTGATAGAAAAATAATTAATAACTAACACGTATATAAAATACAACATGAATATTACACATTAGTAGTTTCGTAAAGTTATTGCAAAATTTAAAATTATGTTGTCATTGAAATATATTTTAATAATTTAATGAGAAAACATATATGGTATTATATGAGAGAAAATATAATGATGCTAGCCGCACAATCTACGCGGGCCACCATGCTAGTTACGCGTAAAGCGAAGGGCTTTTTCGCAAATCGCCGATGTGGCATCACCCATCGGCCGCACAGGGCGCCACCTTCCTGATGCCCTGTCGCCTGTCGGTGAGGGCGCTCCACCGTGAAAACGGTGTGTCGGTGCGCGCGGCCGTCCATCCACACAGCCCACAGGAGAGCTCATATGACATATCGATCGCTCGACGCACGTACAGCGCGCGTCGCGTCTCCCTTCCCGTGCGTGATTCCGCGAGGCTTCACGTACGTACGAGCAAAAAAGCCGAGGTGTACACATTACATCGGATCACTCACTCGATCGAATCATTCTTTAAAATTTACATGTTTGGATCGAGCCGCATGCAAGTACGCAAGTGGCACGCAACTAGGGTGAGGCATCAACCGAGGGAAAAGTGGTTTTATGTGAATCGTGATTAGTGGCCATGTGAAGTAAGCTGGAGGCATTGGACAATTGGAGATTCGGAGGAGCACTTGGGCGATCCAGCCAATGGTGGCTTTCTCATGCGGATCACATGGCGGCCGGTCGCCCGGGCGTGCACGACGTGCGCGCGCCGCTGCCTCCATCGTCGTCACGCGCGATCCCGAGTTGGATTATCCAGAGCTTACGGGTCCATATTTGACAGGGATCCAACTTGTAAATTTAAATTTAGAAGCTAGGCTTAGAGTTTTGAAGCGGTTCAAATCCAGATCTACTTACTTTATAGGTAAAACTATAACGGTTTAGTTGATCTCTGGTTTTAAGAGCAAGTTTAATAATATAGCCAGCTTACTAGCTTCAAAAATTAAACATCATATATAACTAACCTAATATTAAATAAATAGAAATGGTGAGGCTTCGGATCTAGGACAACTAGTACATCACCTTGTGGAGCTAGCGGGAAGACCCTTGGATGTTTTTTTATCCATAACCAACCTAATAGCCTATTTAGACAATAATTAGTTGTAGATATATATTGTATCATTAATACTTAATTTGTCCATATCTCTCATATGGTTTATTGGAGCTTGTGCTGTAGCTGGCTATAAATCCGTGGCTCGCTTTTCTTCTCTTTCTTTTTCCTCATGTAAGAAAAATATGATGTGATAACTTGTACAAGCAACTTAGGTTATTTTAGGGTATGTTTGGTAGAGCTCAACTCTTAAATCTCGCTTCAGGTTTTAGGTCTGGAGTGAAGTTATAGAGCGGCCTAAATCCAGCTCTATTTCTCCACCCAGCTCCTCTCTTATTTTAGAGTACTCGCTGTAGAAAGGGTGAAACTGGAGCTCCGTCAAAACCTACGTAAGATATTGGCCTTGCTTTACGTGCACTGCTCGTCTCCTCCTCCTCTTGCAGCTGATCGTGATTCGTGATTCGTCGGCTTAAACATTGGATTCGCACCGGCAAGTCACTTCTGCGGCGCCGCGGAGCACCATGGCGCCGACACATCGTACATCCAGATGTGCGTGTGTGGCCGTGTGGGAGAGAGAGAAGACGCTCGCTGGGTGCACGGAGCCATTTCACCCGCCAGGCGACTCCTTCTTCTTTTGCGGTTGCGCGAGCACGTCGGTCGTGCGCAAGGTTGTCAATATCCCGATTCGTATTCTAGTATCTTACGATACTACGATCCTCTCAAGCCGAAAAGATACCGATCCCACCTAGTATCCTAATTTTCATAGTATCTCGATCCTACTATTAATTACTACACGATCCTACGGAATCTTATGTGGTATCCCGATTTTACGATCCCTACAATACTACAAAATATTATTTAAAATAACATGGTTTGAAAATAATGTAACTAAATATGCTCAAATTTATATAAAAATCAGTTAAATATATCAAAACCAACGTGGTTTCTCTTAATAAATGTCTCTATTTGCATGACATATATCATTACTACATTATTTTATATAGAATGGCTATATATAATTAATATAAATATTAATTAAACTTTAAAAGAAGAAAATCTCATAGTATCCTGATACTACGATACGATCCTACGATACGATATTACTTTGAGCAAAACGATACTACCTAGTATCCCGATTCTGATAACCTTGGTCGTGCATGGAACAGTCAGAATGTACATACTCCACCGCGTACGCCTAGCATTTTGCGGTTCGATGCCCCCGGCAGTTTCGCGCGCGCGCCTCCCTACGACGCGGGCCACACGTCCCCGTGACAACTCATGCCACCCCTCCCTGCCGCTGCCGCGCGACGAAAAATTGATGAATCTAGCAGAGGAGAAGAACACGCACAGCACATCCGTCCAACCACCCATTCGCCATCACCGCAAAATCTGCCGCCTCATTTATAATTCCTCACCTCCTCTCATCTCAGATCCCTTTCCTCCCTGACACTCTCTTTGACCCCTGCCCCCCCCCCCCCCCCCACCATCACACTCCACACTCCACTAGTAGCTGGCAAGTGACCTCAGCTCAGCTCGGTGATAAAGCGGTGAGAGTGAGTACGGGCTACGGCGGTGGCGGTGGTAGGTGTGAGACGAGGAGAATGGAGGCCACCATTACCCGCTTCCTCGTCTTCTTCTTCCTCCTCCTCGTCGTCGCGGTCAGAGGCGACGACCCTTACAGGTTCTACACCTGGAACATCACCTTCGGCGACATCTACCCTCTCGGCGTCAAGCAGCAGGTAAGTACATCTTCTTCTTCTTGTTCTGCTTCAGCTTCAGCTTGTTCTTGGAGCTGAGCGGAGCTGCATTTGCTAATGGCGTTGTTGTGGGGGTGTGTGATGCTTGCAGGGGATACTGATCAACGGCCAGTTCCCGGGGCCTCAGATCGACGCGGTCACCAACGACAACATCATCATCAATGTCTTCAACAACCTGCCTTCCCCGTTCCTCCTCTCATGGTAATTTTGCAGAGCTTTCTCTTCATCACTCTGTTTAACGCTGTTTCACCTAACTTTGCTTGCTGCTCCAAAGTCTGCCTGGCATGTTTCGCTCCGTACGTTGCATTTTCTGTCTTGCCGGAGAGAGTGCTTGTCGGCTCATTTCCAGATTATTTCTCCACATTTGTAGATTCGTAGATATGTCTTTGCCATGATCAGCATGATCTTCATTAAGCTGTAATTAAACCTTGAGATGTGTAAACTCTCTCTGTCTCTGTCTCTGAGATTGTTCCCCACATGACTGCACTGTTGCTGGGACTGAAACGGGCTGTGCAAGTTTGAACATGTGAAAACAACATGCCAATTCTTTCAAAGTTTCAATCGAGAACACATGTGTAGATCTTGATTCTGTAAGTGCTTTTGCAGAGCTTGTGATGTCACTGACGTGTGAGCTGTCCCAGGGCAAAATCTTTATTGCTTCCTTTTACTTGCTCAACTAAAAGAACCTGATACTGTGTGTAGCGTCTACTTACATCTTTCCCTTTTTTTTTCCCTTTCTTTTATACTTGTGCTTTCGTTCTCGTTACAGATCCATGATAGAAAGAGCATGTGTGCAACTAGTGCCTAATTGTATCAGTGGGGCCTAATATGCTTCAAGTTGAGCATGTGCAGATTGCTGTGCTTGCTGGGTTACTTTTGGCTTCAAGTGTACTTGTTGCCACCTTGAGGAACTAATTTGAGTATTAGAAAATTTCTCGTAGAAGGCGACGGCATAAAATATGTTCATCTTCTAGTAGTAAAATGAAACATTCATCTTCTATTAGTAAAATGAAATATGTTCATCAACTGTTACTAAAAAAAAACATCTCATTGACGTTTCATATTTGGACCGTGGAAATGAATACCCGTGTCTGTAACTTACTTGGGTGTTCATACATCGCAGGCAAGGAATTCAACAGAGGAGGAGCTCATGGCAAGACGGGGTGTATGGTACAAACTGCCCGATCCCTCCGGGTGGCAATTTCACTTACATCATGCAGTTCAAGGACCAAATTGGGAGCTACTACTACTTTCCTTCCCTTGCATTCCATAAGGCTGCTGGTGGGTATGGTGGTATCAGGGTCCTTAGCCGCCCGGGGATCCCGGTTCCATTTGCACCCCCTGCTGGCGATTTCACCATATTGGCCGGTGACTGGTTCAAGCTCAATCACACTGTAAGTACATTTTTTTATATACTTAAGCACAAAGTTCAACACCTGAATTGTAGTTTATGTATCATGGTGCTCACTTTATTGCATCACCAAAAACTAAACTTAGAATTTTGCAGGATTTGCAAGGCATTCTGGACAGTGGTAATGACCTTCCACCCCCTGATGGGCTTCTTATCAATGGCCAAGGCTGGAACGGCAACAGGTTTACAGTAGACCAAGGTAAATTTATCTGAGTAAATCAGAACAACATACCTAGAAGTCTGGCGGGCACTTCACCATTGTGTATCCTGAACTTGTTTGATGTAATGTTGCCAGGGAAAACTTACCGTTTTAGGGTATCGAATGTGGGCATAGCAACATCAGTGAACATAAGGATTCAAGGTCATTCCTTGCTGCTGGTTGAGGTGGAGGGATCACACACCGTGCAGAGCACATACACATCGATTGATGTCCATCTAGGCCAGTCCTACTCATTCCTCGTGACGGCTGATCAGCCACCCCAGGACTACAGCATTATTGTCTCGACCCGTTTCACCAATCCTGTGCTCACCACTACTGCTGTCCTCCACTACAGCAATTCAAACGGTGCCCTTTCTACGGTAGCACCACCCCCAGCACCAACAATCCAGATTGATTGGTCTCTCAATCAGGCTAGATCAATTCGGTAAGCTTTTGCCTTCCTTCCAAAAAAAAAATCGGTAAGCTTGTCCAGATTTGAATAGCATATGCTTATTTTTCAATAACAGAATTTTGGGAAGTCAATGAAAATATACTAGGTTCAGATCATAAGATATGTTCAAGAGGACCAACAAAAGTTAACTTAGTTTGACAAGAACATTGGAATTTCCCTACACAAATGTACTAGCAACTAGTAACTACAATGTTTCATATTTTTAATTACATAAGACCTGTCCATGTGGTTAACAATCTTTGTTTATTTGGAAAAACTGATTTAGATATCATATCTAGTTAGTACAGTAACATAACTGAAAAACTGAAGTTGCACAAGTAACTCCGGCATACATTTCTGAAGGACTGAAACATTCCTTTCCACTCAATCCCATGTTTTTCTAACTCGGTACAGATGGAATCTGACGGCGAGTGGACCAAGGCCGAACCCTCAGGGCTCATACCATTATGGCCTTGTCAACACTACAAGAACCATCAGACTTGCGAACTCAAGGGCTAGCATAAATGGCAAGCTGAGATACGCGGTCAACAGCGTGTCCTTCATTCCAGCTGACACTCCTCTCAAGGTTGCCGACTTCTACAACATTCAGGGTGTGTTCGCTCTGGGGAGCATGCCTGACAACCCAACCGGAGGTGGCGCCTACCTGCAGACAGCAGTCATGGCAGCCAACATGCGAGACTACGTTGAAGTCATCTTTGAGAACTCTGAAAACTTTGTGCAGTCATGGCACATTGACGGTTACGCATTCTGGGTTGTCGGGTGCGTTTTTCATTGCCATTCTTGCAAATTATGGGTAGGCCACCGGTTCATGTCAATGATTGAAGGTGATTACCATTTCTGAACAGGATGGATGGAGGACAATGGACACCTGCGAGTCGCCAGAGCTACAACCTTAGAGACGCAGTTGCTCGGTACACATTACAGGTATATCAATGCAGATGGTCATTGTAGATCACCATGACCACACTTAATTTATCTGAAACTGCATCTAGCAGTATATTCTGATCATGTCATTACAAGAAGCACAATAGACCATATATGGAAATGCTCCATGATTGCGCAATTCATATGACCTGCTTGCACATGATCTACTTTTTTCAGGTGTATCCTCAATCATGGACTGCAATTTACATGCCTTTGGATAATGTGGGGATGTGGAACATCAGGTCAGAGAGCTGGGCTAGACAGTACCTCGGCCAACAATTCTACCTCCGGGTCTACTCTCCGGCGAACTCATGGCGGGACGAGAACCCGATCCCAAAGAACGCGCTCCTCTGCGGTCGGGCCTCGGGGCGCCGGACCAGGCCTCTCTGAACCTGAATTGGGGATCAGTTTCATGTCACGAAGGGGTGACAGCTGATAAACTGATGAGAATCAGATGAGAGCCAAGGATACATGTGGTGTTCAGATTATTGAGCCCCAATTCTTTTGACAAGCTTGAGAAGTTGAGAAGATTGTACTCCTAGCATCCCATTTCTGCTATTCGCATTGTTAAGCAACTGTAGCTAAAATGTTGCAGCGAATTCTTTGTATGGCAAGCAAGGATAATCTTGCTTCCTGACATTTATTGATAGATGATATAATATCGATATCCACGCATATATATTGATAAACTGGAGTATGTTCAGATAGTTTCAGATTTGTGTCAATTGATATCACAAACCAGCTTCACTGGCAAGGCCATTCCAGATACATTTACTACTGGAAGGGGTACGTTCCAACACAAAGTACGCTTTCAAAGCCTAGAATACGTAAACCTGGAGGAGAGGCGTTCACCTCGAAATAGGTAACGTATTAGCGGATACTTTTTCCAAAAAGCCCCCTCAACTTCTCCTTCCTTTCCCAAATCGCGCTCCCCTCCCTTCCTCTCCTCCTCGCTTTCCACTCTCCTCCCCCACTTCCATTTCGCGGCTAAACATAGGCGATTAGGAGAGCGAGCTCGACGCACGCGCGCAATCACACACCCACGAAAATTTTCGATCCACGCGATTTCCCCATTCGCTCCCGAATCGAGGCCGCATTTTTTTCGATCGAATTTGGGGTTCGGATCGAATAATCCTGTAGGTTTTGCTCACCTCTTCGATCGTCATCTCCGGCGAGCCGGTGGCGGTGGTGATGGTGATGGTGCGTGGCTAGGCGCGCGTGGCGTGGTGGTCGGAGGCCATGAACATCGTGCGGGGCGTCGCCGATCTCCTCCGCAAGGCGCCGGCGCCGCCGCCCGCGCCGCCCGCGGTGCCCTCCTCCTCCTTCGGCGTCCGCGAGGGCTCCTTCCATGGTGCCGACCAGGACGTCGCTCCCTCTCCCCGCGTCGTCTTCAGGTACTCGATCACATCCGCTCGCTCGCTCGCTTTCCGCCCTGGGAGAAATGTGGCTTGTTTGTTTGTGCGGGCGCTAGGGCTTGCGTGCCTGTGCCGTGTCGTTGTTTCTGAATTTCGGATGGGATTTGCGGTGATTATGTGGCGAGAGAGAAAAATGTGCATGTAATTTTTGGGGAAAGTTGTCGATGTATTGCAAGCACATTGCTAGTAGTCCCTAGATTAGCCTGAGTTATTTACCCGCAAGGATTCAGAGCGTGTTTCAGTGCTAGTTAGTAATACATAATATTCTGATATGTTTAGTTTAGCTTTGCCATGCCACGTCCATTCCCTGCAAAATAATTCAAAATGGTTGTACATATGATTTATGTTGATGCGTGCAACCATGGAATGAGAGTTCATGCTAAATCATGATATGAAACAAACCTTTGGATGGCTGGCTTCAAGGACAACCAGCCAATTAGCTTTTAAGTGAAGCTTCCGTCCTCAAAACCAATTATAGCAGGTGTTCAGCTATCCCATTCCAATGCCAAGACGAGGACATGGACCGCCTCCTTCTCGAGCTTCCATGCCCTCTTGCAAGCTTCACTTCCAAATACCCGGTCCTCCCACTCTGCATCAACAAGCCCATCAAATCTGACCTCTAGCCTCTGGTTGACAGGGTGGTCAGAAGCCTGCCAACATGGAAAGCCGAGCAGCTATCGCCACCAGGGAGAAGCGCAAGAAGCCTTTGCTAGATTAGTCGCAAAACCGTCTCGTGAGATATAGCCCTGTTCTGTAACTTTTTCTTTTCCTTTTGCTCAGCAGCTGTACGAACTCCTCACTTAATACAATGATCAGCAAATCCTATGCATATTCTTGAAAGCCAAATAAACAACTAAAAATAGTATGGCTGGGGTGCATTGTATTGTTTAAACTTCTTTTCTTATTTGGTAGGTAGCATATGTGCTCAATGGAATGATGCTATGTGGCTTATAGCAATGCTAAAACGTCATCCTATGTCATTATCACTAACACAATTGCTATATTCTTGTTAGACAGGCTCTCAACTATAACATCTGAGGTTCCATTATTTTATTTGTTAGTGGTACTTAATATGTTAATTTTCCTGGGGTATGGTAATTGTGTGGTGTATAAATAAAACCTGTAATCAAATCTCAATTTTTTTTGTGTGCTACGTCTGCACAAATGTTTCTCATTATGTTTCATTTTGTTGCAGTGATAGCACGGAGGAGAGAGTCTTAAATACACTATGGAAGAAGTATGAGAATGCCCTCAATAAGGTATTTCCCTGAAAGCTTGCTAGATTCTGTTCTAGGATATTTGTTTATCATTAGGACCTCACCTGTACAACAGTTTCAAGTGTCTGCTTGATGTCTCCAACTTTCAAGCATTCTTCACTTTTAATTAAAACCACTCGTAAACTGTTTCACACTAAATATTCATGTTTCTCAATGTACAATTTTATATTCTTAAGAATGTAAGGGCCTGTTTGGCAGGGCTCCAACTCCTAAATTTAACTCTAAGAGCTGGGTCTGGAGTGGAGTTGTGGAGCAGCCTGAACCCAGCTCCTAAATTTAGTTCATTTTGTGAGAGCACTCTAGTCTGCTCCACTCACTTTTAAGGTGGGGCTGAAACTGTTTGGCTGGACTCTAGCTCCAGGAGAGGTAGAGTTGGAGCTGGAGCTATGCCAAACAGGCCCTAAAATTAAACTGTATAAGTGTGGTAACCAAACTGTTTACTAAATGCTACTTCCTCTGTTTCACAATGTAAGTCATTCTAGCATTTCCCACATTCATATTGATGTTAATGAATCTAGACATATATATTTATCTAAATTCATTAACATCAATATGAATGTGGGAAATGCTAGAATGACTTACATTGTGAAACGGAGGGAGTATTAGGTGCTTTTAGAGAATATTCAATAACTGTCTATCTTTATGTTGTATGATTTGTTAACCAGTTTTTATTTAATACGCCGTTAGAACTAAATTGAAATAACATAGTAATGCTGTACTATATCTTACGTCACTTTGTAATCATTTACAGGCTGAAAAGGAGAAATCCCTGCAAATTTTTGTCTTACAATTTGTACAAACATTCAGAGATTGGGGACCATACCATAATATTCATTTGGTTGATCAAGAACAAGGATCTGATGAAACAGTTGTAGGATGCTCTCACGGGCATCCTTCTGAGGTCATTCTTATCCTGATTCAGGAGATGTCTATAATAACATCAACTATTGCAGAAAGTAAGTGGCTTTACTGTATAATGAGTACCCTACTGTTAGAACTGTCTCCGGTTTCTCTTTGATGCGTGTTTTTTTTGCTCAGAACTTTTTCTTGTGGTGTGTGTGACTATGTAGATTCCCGAATTACCATTCTATGCCCATAGAAATATCTTCAAATGTTCTATTGATTCTTGAGGATGGTACCAATGTTTCAAGTGGAATAGCTTTTGGTGGCTGCTTTGATAAATAATAAGATTACAATTGTTCTTGTATTGAATTAGTAGGTGGCAACAGTCCAGAATCTTCTCCGAACTATTCAGAGCAACCAGGAGATCTGGGATTAAGTACTGAACGGCTACATGTTTTGGAGTGCTTGACAATTTTGACTCGTTCCATGCATAACTGTAGAGTATTTAGCTATTATGGTGGTGTAAAGAAGGTTACTTCTCTACTAAAAGGTAAAAATTCTTCACGTGTTGAAAGCTCAATTCTAGGAAATATTCTTTGTATGTGCTGGATTATTTTTCCAGGCTTCTTATTCTGCTCTATTTTAAACAGATTTTTTCCTTCTTTCCCTTGCTCAACGGTGGCATTCTTTTTCTTATTCTGCTCTAATTTAAATAGTTTTCTTATTCTGCTCTAATTTAAATAGTTACATTTTTTTAGTTAGCTTAGTCATGGTTTGTTGACTTCTCGTTTTGAGGAATTATATTCTCACTCCTTTCTCTTTGGTATATTCAGCTGCAGTTGCTCAGCTCAAAATCCAGAACAGTTTGCTTGCTGCAGATAACCACGTCTCATGCCAAGCTGTAGAAAATATAAAAATGATGCTAAATATGCTCAAATACATAGTTACAATAATTTCCAACTTCATGAAATTGGAGCCAACTATCCTGAGGATTCCCCATTTTCTCAATTCCACTAAGTGTGCCTCATCAAAAAATCATTTGGCCACAGTTACTCCAAGCACTTCAGAAAGTGGTATTTTTGATACACTTCAACGTTGGCAACAAAGGGCTATTGTTCTTGTGATGGGAGCTGGTGGTGTCAATTCGTTAGTAGGTAAGGCTGCCATTTTAGTTGTGAACTGATATTGCTGCTATAGTTTTTCAATTTTGTTTTACAAACTGTTATTTGAACACTCAATCCGTTATAATGTTAATTAATGCAGTGGTACTTACTGGGTTATCAAAATCTCAAATGAAATAGTGTATCTAGTATAGTCAGGTTAATTTTCATGTTTTCTTTTTTGTAATTTCTGACCAACGAATCATGTGAAGTATCAAACAGAAGACAACAATGAACAATAGCTGTTAGAATGATTGTAGTATTTAGGAATTTTAAACGAAAGAGGTGACTAGGAAGAATAGCATGCCTGGTAGGAAATCTTGATGTCATGGGAGGGGATATTAATGCCAAAAGGAATTACAGAATGCCTGCATAATTCAGAGATTAAGTTGGCTATTTTTTAGTAGAAGAAATTAAAATGTAAGAGTTGAAATTTTGTTTTAATTTACAGAGCAACAAATGAAGTCATTGAGTGTATGTGTGCTGCTAAGAAGGCATCAGAATTCTGTTGTCACACTATATGTAAATACCTCGTCATATGCACCACAGTTCAGAGGCAGTGCATGTGAGAAGATATTTGCTAGTAGATCCACCTGTAGCTAACATGTCACTATATTGACTATTATTGATTTTTTATAATTTTGTTAGTTTTTATAAATTTAGTTTCACTGCAGAACTTTTGCGGGTCATTCAGAGACTGAATTCGGAGCAGTGGACAGATCTTTCACTTCATTTTATCACATTATGCACTTTGCGATCAACTATATCTGGAACCCGTGCCCAGAATCATGTTAGAAGCATTGGTGGTTTGGAAATTCTACTTGATGGGCTAGGACTCCCTTCAAGTAAATTTTCAGTTTTGAAGAATTCATCTATCCCAAAAGATGAAAGGTGCAAATTTTAGAACCCGGGAGCACTTCTTGTTTATCATTTGATACTTCCGTTTCCATTTTTCGTTAGTGTGCCTTATGCCTAGAAATAGGATCACATATATTCTCGATAGAATTTGTTAGGGAAGACTGACAATTTTCTAGACCAAAGATAAAATTATGGCATAACATCCAACACGATACAAACAATTGCTTTGAATTTTATTTCGAATTTGAAGGTCTGGAAATGGATTTAAATATGAATTTTTCACTCTAAGAATGATTCAAATCTAAAATCTAAATCATAAAAAGATATATTTGTTCAAATTTGAAATGCATGCAAGACATAATTTAGTTTTTAAAAAAAGGTTCGGCAATTTCAGAATTATATTCTAATGATTTAAATTGCAGTTAGATTTTTTAAACAAATTTTTGAGCAGAATGCTTTGAGTGTGAAACATATAGTTGCACCTTTTTTACACACACATTCCTCCTTTTCAATACCTTGGTAAGGGGTGGTAATTAGGAGGGAATTCCCCCTTTACTTTGCCTAAACAAATCTCAGCCATCTGTTTTCATTAATGACCTAATCTCCAACTAAACTCCCTATCAATTTCTACCATCTCTACCAAGCAAGATGCTGGGATTAAAAATCAAATTCCCATCTTAATCTCACCATCAATTCCCTCGTGTAAACTTCCAATCTCCTTCTTTCGAATTGCCAAACAAGCCGATTAGGTTATGGATTTGGCTGTTGCTTGTTTAATAACGCATAAAGTCTATTATAAATTAAATTAATTTTCAGCCTTTAGGCACTTTCAAAAGACTTGTGATTAGTGAAAAGCGTTTTTTTTCCTTTTTAAATTTGCCATTGTATTTTTCAGTGACAACCTTCTAGATTAGTAATTCAGATATACTCCCTCTGTTCTTTTTTATATGATTTTGGTTTGTTCATTTTTTAACTAACCAACGTCATATATTTATGGATGGAGGTAGTATAATTTTAGTTCTCACCTTCCATATTTTCTTCTCAATTTTATGTTCTGATGTTACTTTGCTTTTGTAGGGTTGAAGTTCTTCTGCTCCAAATATTATATTTGGAAATTCTAAGTGAGGCAGTGTATCCTGTACTCTAAACTTTATTTATTGGTTTTTCAATTTCTGAATATCAATATCCTGTGCTATTCTTTAATTTAAGTAAGATTCTTGGTCATATGACTGGGACTAACTGATTTACTAGTTATTAACTCCAGCTTATAATGAATTTGAAGAATTAATGTGCATTTAAATTAAAGGCAAAATTTGTTATAGGACACCGAAAGATTGCGGCCTTTGCTGTGAGACATCCGAAGATCGTGTATTTGCTCGTGGACACCGTAAAAAAGTGGTAATTAGCTGGCGGACACCGGCTGCATTATTTTATTATTTCGGGTGGAAATGGAGAGAGAAACTTTGGTTAAAGACAAGTTTGCCCATGGGCCCACTTGTCAATCTCTCTCTCTCTCTTCTTCTTCCTCTCTTTGTCTGTTCATCTCTTTCTCATTGCGCCGCCGCCGAGCTCTGCCGTGGCCATGAAGCAGCATCAGCAGCAGGAGGCTACGGCCTGTTCATCAGAACAGCAGATTGTTCCATGGCTGAAGCACAACAAGAAGTCGCAGCAGCAGCGAAAGGGTACTGGTCTTCTCCCTCCTCGCCGTCGTCGATGTCCCCCACTCCGTCACCTCCACCGGCGGCAGCTGTCCATGGAGGCGGAGGAAGAGCGGAGGAGTCCACCATCGCCGCCGCTGCAACGCCAGCCGCACGGAGTTTGGCTGCAGGGGACAACGGCATGCAGGTGAGTGGCCATGGCGAGCATGCTGGGTTGAGCTCCGGGCGGCGTCGTGGCCGGCAAAAAGGATCCGGGCGGCGCCAGATCCTTGCCAATCTAGGTCAGTACATCGCCGTCCACCCGCGTGCGCACTCGCCATGGCCAGCGGCAGTGGCGCTGGCGCCGGCCTTCCACTCGAAGAGCTAGGGCTTGACGGTGCTGTACTCGACGCGCTCTGGCGATGCGCCGCCGCCGCCGCCCCGCCACCGTCGCGCCTCTGCTCCGCTGCGAGGAAGAAGGGGAAAAGAAAAGAAGAGAGAGAGAGGAAGCCGTGCGCCGGGATGCCGCCATGCGTCGTCACCGTCGGCGGTGAACCCTGGCGATGCGCCGCTGCCGCCGCCCCGCTGTGGCCGCCGTCGCGCCTCTGCTCCGCTGCGAGGAAGAAGGGGAAAAGAAAAGAAGAGAGAGAGGAAGAACAGTGTCAAAGGGTTATTTTGGTACTTACACAACTCTTTCTCTCTCCATTTCAACCGAAAATAATAAAATAATGGGAGGAGTGTCCAGCAGCTAATTACCACTTTTTTACAGTGTTCACGAGCAAATACACGTTTTTGGGTGTCTCACAGCAAAGGCCACAATCTTTCGGTGTCCTGTAGCAAATTTTGCCTAAATTAAATTTATGTATCATATACTGCTATCGTTTTTTTCCCCAAGTTGGATTCTTGACTGCTATTCAGATTTGGAAATGTCAACAATCTGCAATTTTTGTGCGAAAATGGACGTGTACACAAATTTGCAAACTGCATTTGTTGGCCTGCATTTATGATTCTGGAGTTCCATCGGCAAAGGGATAACACCGGGCCTTCACTTGCATTAGATTCGATTTCTGGCCCAATTTATTTTCTTGATATAACCGAATGGAGGGAGTACTCTGTAAAGTTGAGCAATGCACTTTGCTCTTTTATTATTCCTTCAAAGGTTATAAGTTACTGTCGTAATGAAATTGCTTGCAACAAAATCTCTTTATCTATCCCATCAGCATACCGAGAGCAATCTGTGAGATGGTTCATAAGGGTTCTTATGACAGTCTTCCTATGCATCAAAGCTTGTACTAGTGAAACTGAATTGCCAAACCATATAAAGTAAGTTTGCTTTTTATGTATTGCCATGATATCTTGTCCATTAGAACAATTAATTACTCTGCCTTTTGCTCTGTTTGATATTATTAAGATGTTTAATTGAAGTTTTTTTAAAGCTAAGATATGTATGCCCAACAGTTGGGGTTTATTACAAGTTATATCATTTAATTGTCCTGATGTCAATCAATGCCAACTCCAATATATTAGTGGACTAGTTGATTGCCATGTGTTGAACATGCATTATTGTTGTTTCAAAATTTGAAAATTTCACAAATATTTGCACAGAATTTCCAGATAGTAGATAATCTCAACACAAGTGAAATTAGTAGATGATCAAATCCTTTTTGCAAAATCCGACAAGTAATACACGTACATACATGCACAGATATCACGCTGGTTTGATTATTTAAGTAATGATGGAAAGATGACTAGGAGCAAAAGGTGCTTTTGTTTTTGTAGTAACCTAGTACACCTTTGGCCCTTGAACTCCACTGTAGTCAAACCGTTCCTTTTTCAACTCACCTTCCAAACTGCACAAATAATGGTGATTATGGTTGACATCGTGGTGATTTCACTTAACACGCTCCTAGTCCTATTTGGCTGGTTTGTCTTGGACATTGTCAGTGGCATCACTCCAAGTAATACCCTCTTAAGTGGAACTTGACTTAGTCCACTCAGCAAAAACCATTGTCATATTCTGCCAATATCACAGTGGAATAGGACTTGTGGTGTCATTTGTCCATGTTTGGAAGTTGGAGGTGCAAAAGAAATCTACAATTGAGTTCAGGGTGAAAAATGGATTGTGAATATAGTTTGCGTGCCTAAAGTGGGCTTGTGTTACAAAAACTTACCACCATTGACTAGTAATCTTCTCAAGTACACCATAACTGGTACCCATGCAATGAATCAGTAACATGCAGATAATATTGCTACACACAGTATGATTGTTTTCTTATTTTAATTCATTGAATGCATCCATATTTGAAATGACAACCTGTTCTGTGTATGATGTGACTTATGCACCAGGATTTTGGCCAAAACCCTTCAGCTTTACATGATTCGCACATTCAGAATGGTTCTTGTTTCAAAACCAACTTTACTCACAGCTTTTCGAGAGGAAGGTGTATGGGACTTAATATTCTCAGAGAATTGTTTCTACTTTGGGTCATCTGTAGAAGACATGCAATTTCATATTGTCGCAGAAGTTCAAAATGAAGATATTAACGGTAATACTGAACCCACTGATTCTGAAAGCTTATACCTATCAGATGTTAACATTCTTCAGTTGGAAGCCATTTCCTTCTTGGAGTATGCTGCAACGCTTAATGAAAACAAATATAACCTGGTACTGGTTTTTCTCTTATGTTACATTGTAAGTTTATTGTTTTTGTCAGGTTTTAAAGCTCCTTCTAAAAGATCTGTTTTTTATTCATTTTCTCTTTGTAGCCAGAATGCTCAGCACTGCTGGAAGCTCTTGAACACTGCATTTATGATCCTGTGGTGGTCAGCATTCTTCTTAAAAGTTTTCGTGTTATTCTACAACTCGCCACAGAACAAACTCTAGTTTCATTTAAATCCTTGGATGTAATTACTGGAGTCCTTAAGGCTGCATGCCAACAAGCAAAAGAACTACAAAACTTCAGCTGTTTTCCTAGTGATGATGTTATCAGCAGTGGATATGGTTCTAAGATAGAAAATATTGAAATGAGTTCGTCAGGAAAGAGAACTGAGTATGCTATTATTTGTATAGAGTTAGCTTTGAGCCTCTTCAAGGAATATGTCACCATATCTAGCTATGGAAGAATTCTAATTTTGCACAATCCTGACTGTATTGAGTGTTTATTCAACTTATTCCAAGAAAAGAACTTCCGCAAGCATGTACTGGAGCAAATTTTTGCTTTATTCAGGGTAAAATTGTGCATATTCCAAATTTTCTCTTTTGATCTTGTTAACGTTTGGAACTACAACACTCTTACAGTTTACTTTAACCAGTTACCTCCATCATCAAAACAAGATCATGCAGCAAAGTTACAGCTATGCTCCAAATATTTAGAGAATTTCACACGAGCAAATGAAAAAGAAAAGGTTAACTCAGAATTGTTGGTTGATCTACTGGTCAACATGAGAGAGATCATTATGATGGATCGCATGGTACGTATCAGTATACGCCTTTGCATATAATAGTTGAAAATGTCAATAGTGTTTGCTTAATACCATCAATGACAATATGTTGACAAATGTACTCATTTTTGTTAGTACTATCAAAATCTATTTCGCGATGGAGGGTGCTTTCTGTATATTGTCTCTTTGTTGAATGGAACATTCAATGAGGCAACTGGTGAGCAGTTAGTTCTTAATGTTCTTGAGACATTGACCTTATTACTTGAAGGAAATGATGCATCCAAGGTAATCATATTGATGTATGCGATTCATGCAATTATCCCATCTGATGTGCTAACAATAACTCTGATTTGTCTTTTTTAGGCTTCCTTTAGAATGCTAGTTGGTGTGGGTTATCAAACACTGCAGAGCTTGCTACTGGATTTCTACAAATGGTTGCCAAGCCCAAGCGAGAGACTCTTACATGCATTGCTTAGCATGCTGGTTGATGGGAAATTTGAGATAAATGAGATAACAACAATAAAGGCTAGTAACTTTCATATCTTAGAACCAATTAACATGCTGCTATCATTTCTGGGTCCATTTACTTCAGTCATCTATTTTTAATTATTCTCACAAACATTTCTTTGATTTATTCCTTCAGAATGAAGATGTGGTTATATTAGTTTTGAATATTCTACAAAAGGTATGCTCCTTTTCTCTATATCAGGCATGCATATATGATTATGATCCACTGATAATTTCCAGTTATATTTCTTTTGCCTTTTTGTAACATCCACAATTTCTGATTGGCAGAGCAGCACATCACTTCAGCATTATGGGCTTGTTGTTTTGCAGCAGTTGCTCAAGCAATCCATTGCAAATAGAACTTCTTGTTTCAGAGCAGGACTGCTTAGTTATCTTCTTGATTGGTTCTCAGTAGAGGAAAGGGATGATACTGTTGGTCAAATTGCAGACTTAATTCAGATAATTGGTGCACACAGTATTAGTGGCAAGGACATTCGGAAAATATTTGCACTCTTACGTTGTGGGAAGATTGTTGCCAAGAAGAAGCATAGTTCTTTGCTTTTGACATGTCTCAGTCACATGCTTAAGGAAAAGGGACCAGAAGCTTTCTTTGAGTTCGATGGTCATGATTCTGTGCGTCCTGCCATATTTACTTGTCAATTTAAATTTTCCTTAGTTGTGATGAGTAATTTAAATACTCATAGATATCTACGTGATATTAAGAACTAACTTTAGAGCATTTTAGTGTTGGTATGGGTCAAAATTAGGAGTACTTTGAACGCTACAAAAGGATTCATATGTGAGGCGATATCACTATGAAAAATTTAGGTATGTGATTGCTAAAAAATAGGAAAAAAAACATGGTGGGCATTTAAAAGGACACCCCCAAGATATTTAACTCTTTGCCACTCTTAAATGTGGCATTTAACGATTTGCCACTGGACCCACATGTCATAGAGAGGGCCCACATGCCATAGACTATGAGTGGCAAATTGTTAAATGCCACATCTTAAAAGTGGCAAATAGTTAAATGTCTTATTGTAGGATTTTAGGGGGTTGATCTTTGCAATCTAGGCTGCTAGACCTTTTCTGTAATCCGAGGCTTACCTTTTTTATACAAGACAGTGTTCTCCGGCAAAAGTGTTGATCTTTTTACTTTTCAAAATTATGGTTTTCCAAATGCGTTCATGTTTTATTTTTTAGGTTTCTAGGCATGCGTTTTCTGATTTTTCTTCCTTTTTCTACTTGAAAAATTTAGAGGTAATAAAAGTGACACTTGTTGCTTTTGACAATGATCTGCCAAATACCAACAATATCATTTTGTTTGTTTTCATTCACATGCCTTTTGAATGTACTCTGTTTTATGTCTCAAATAACATCCATTACTTTGTTGCCAGTATTTGATGTTCTGATTGACTGACATTCTTTCTTAATCATTGAAGGGTATAGAAATTAAATCACCATTTCAATGGCCTTATAATAGAGGGCTATCCTTTTCCTGCTGGTTAAGGGTAGAAAACTTCCCAGAAAATGGTATGATGGGCCTCTTCTCTTTTTTCACAGAAGATGGAAAGGGGTGCTCAGCCGTGCTTAGCAAAAGTGCTCTAGTATATGAGGTAATGGTGGTTTTCTTACTTATTCAAAATAGCAATTTCTAGCATTCAAAATTTGTCCCAAAATATAGCAACTTCTCCACCTACATTCTCTTCTCAACCAATCACAACCTTCCGCCATTTAATTTCTCCACCAGTCCACCTACATTATCTTCTCAACCATTTGCAACTTTTCCCCATCACCTACTTCCTTAATAGCCGTGTCCAACCCCCAAAGTTCTCATATTCCGGGACAGAGGTAGTAATTCATAAATTTGGATGGACACATGATTTTTTTTTTGGTTTCTGTTTGCTCTCCATTATGGTCAAGTGTTGCA